TGAAATTTTCAGTGAATTGAGACTTCTCAGCCAAGCATATAATCTATTTTGATGACTGTTTAATTCGTACTCAGAAAGAGAATGTATTCTGTAGTTGTTGGATTTCGTGGTCTACACATGTCAACTAAATGAAGTTAGTTAATAATGTTGTTCAGATATCTGTATCCTCACTAATTTTTTGTGTATTTGCTTAGTCAATTACTGAGAGAGGGGTGTTCACATTTCTGAGATTTGGACCTGTTTTTTCAGTTTTGTCAGTTTTCTTCATGTATTTTATTGCTTTGTTTTTAGGGACATGAGTTGTTAGGAGTTTTATGTCTTCCTGATGAATTAGCCCATTTATTATTATGAATTGTTCCTCTATTTATGCAGTATTCCTTCACTTGAAGCCTATTCTCTATGATATTAATATAGTAAGTTCATATTTTTTATATTGAATGTCTTCACTATATATCTTTCCACTCTTTAAGTGTGTGTTTTGTACAAAACATATAGTTGGGTATTTTTTTTAATCCAACTTGACCATTCCTGTCTTTAGTTATAGTGTTTGGCCCATTTACATTTAATGTAACTATTGCTATAATTTGGTTTAGTCTGTCATTTTTCTGTTTGTCCCATTTGGTTTTTATTCTGCTCCTCCTTTTCTTCTCTTCTTTGGAATAATTGAATTTTCTTTAGTATCCTATTTTAATATCTCTATTGAGTTTTTACCTACACCTCTTTTAATTATTATTATTTTTAAATTTTTTGTTTTTAGAGACAGGGTCTGACTCTGTCACCAAGTTGAAGTGCAGTGGTATGATCATAGCTCACTGCAACCTCTGCTTCCCAGGCTCAAGTGATTCTCCAGCCTCAGCCTCCTGAGAAGCCAGGACTACAGGTGCATATCACCACTCTTGACTTATTATTGTGATTATTTTAGTGGTTGCTTTAGGGACTACAATATGCATCCTTAATTTATCACAGTCTAGAGTTAATATTGTATGATTTTTACATACAGTGTTATAATCTTATAACCATATTGTTTCATTTATCCCTCCCATCCTGTGTGGGAGTTTTGCCTTATATATTACATCTATATGTGTTACAAAACCTGCATACAGTGTTATAATTTTTGCCTTAAGCAGTGTCTTAGTGAAATCGGGGAAGAAGGTATACAATATATATAGTTTAAATGTATTCACACATTTAATGATGGTTTTCTTTCTGTAATTCTAAATGTCCATCTGGTGTTACTCCTTTTCAGCATGGCAATAATTTCTCTCCATTTTTATTCCACCTTAATTTTGAAGGATATTTTTGCTGTATGTGTAATTCTGGGTAGGTAGCTTTTTTATTTTCTTTCAACCTTTTCAATGCGTCATTCCATTGTTTTCTAGTTTCCATTGTTACGACGAGACATCCACCACTATTATAGCTGTTCCTCTATATATAAAGTGTCATTTGTCTACAGTAGCTTTCAGATTTTCTGTTTATTTTTGATTTTTAACAGTTTGACTACAGTATACGTAATTGTGATCTTTGCATTTGTCTTGCTTGGAGTTTTCTGAGCTTCTTGTATTAGTACACTTGTTTTTAACCAATAATTGGGAAATTTTCAGCCACCATATCTTCACATATTTTTTACTCCCCATTTCTTTATGCTCCTTTTCTTCTGGGACTCAACTTACTTATATGTTGGACAGCTTAATAAGGTCTCACAGATCATTGAGGTTCTACTCATTTTTAGAAAACTTATTCTCTGTTACTCAGGTAAGGTAATTTAAATTAGCTTTCTTTATCTTTAGATCATCTTACTAGTTTCTAGTGATAGCATTTTCTCTTGACTGTGCACATGTTTTTTTCCTATTCTCATGTTCAGTTGTTTTATTTTACTGTTACTGATCGTATAGGATACCATGTATTAAGTCTGAATCATGTCCTCTTCCTTTAAAAGGTGTTAAGTTCTATTCTGGCAGTCAGTGAAATTATTGGCAGATCCTTGTAGTTTTGCCAGGATTGGTATAATTCTGTCTTACAGCAAGTCTATTTCAGTTTTGAATTTAGTTTTAGGATATACTCCTTGCCTCTGGGGCTTAGTCTTATAAGAACAGCCTTTTGAGTTCTGAGGCACTCAGTAAGTTCTCTTCACCCAGGTTTGGTTGGATTTCTAATGCGTTTCAACGTTGCATAGCCTCTGGTATTGCTCGCTGTCTATCTCCTACTGCTGTAGCAGGCAATCTTTGTGGGACTCACTCTATCTTACCCTGTGCATGTGCTCCCCAATCTTTGGCCAAGGACCTGTAGTGAATGCTCATGCGCGTATGTAAAGTCTCTCCTTTTCATAGTTCCCTCTGAAAGAAGGAACTCTGGGGACACCAATCTCAGAATGTAGATTCATTCTCTTGGTGTCCTGCTATCAAATCTCACAGGACAGTAACACTGTGTATGTGTTAAGTGCATAGCATTTGGTTTACTGAAATGCTGATGTGGTTGTGTTGGTGTGTAGTTTTCAAATAAAAATTCCCTCTTAAAACACGGCTGGACGCGGGGGCTCACGCCTGTAATCCTAGCATTTCGGGAGGCTGAGACGGGTATATCACAAGGTCAGGAGTTCGAGACCACCCTGGCCAAGATGGTGAAACACTGTCTCTACTAAAATTACAAAAATTAGCCAGGCATGGTGGCAGGCGCCTATAATCCCAGCTACTTGGGAGGCTGAGGCAGGAGAATTGCTTGAACCCGGAGGTTGCAGTGAGCCGAGATCGTGCCACTGCACTCCAGCCTGGGTGACAGAGCAAGACTCCGTCTTAAAAAAAAAAAAAGAAAAAGAAAACACTTTAGGGTTAGAATCATCAGAAATCCAGTATTGATAAAACTTAAATAAATCTGTCCAGATCAATTAAAATTGTTGAGTCTGCTTATGAATGGAAGAAATCTTTGAAAAATTTAAAATTCTAACATATTTTTTTCAATTTTGCCTTCTCTGGATTTCCCTAATGTTCCCCTCCCATAATCCTTTTTATTCTTATATTCCAATGTGCTTTTAAGTAATACTACAGAGAGAATAAGCTAACAGAAGCTGAGATAAATTTTATTTTTATTTTAAACAGAAGAAAGGAAAAAGGGGTTACATTTTTATAAATATCTATAAATATAGAAGGATAGGCAAACTTCCAAATAAATAAATAAATATTGCCACATGATGAGGGATATAAGAAATTGTAGGAACTATTATGGCTTTGCCATAAAGAAAACCCCTGATGATAGAGTTGAGTTTGTGAGATTACAACCAGTTTTCCACCAAAATCCTTTTGGGATCTTTCACTGGGGAGCCTCCAATAGCTATTGTGCAGGATAATATTTCCAACAGGAAATGAAAACAGAAATATTAAAATATTTGCCATGCATGGCTATATACTATTATACATAGTTTTACTGTTTCAGAGTAGGAACCAATCCTTCAAGTTCAGCTTAAAACCATCAGGTCAAAACAGTTGCCCAATGTTTCTCTGATAACTAGAAAGAATAGAGCAAAGTATAAGGTTAGTACGTGATGGCAGTGAGAAAAAAAAAAGGTGACTGGGAAGAAGCTGTTGTTGAATCGACTTTGCTTGTTAATATTCTGTCCTTTAGGTGGTCATTTAAAGAGAGGTAGGAAAACGGAGTCCCCTTACGGGAAGAACCGCAGTAAGGGGGTAAGGCTGGGATGAGAGCTGACCGTCAGGCCCACCTGCCTGGTGCTCCTCTGCGCCTCTCCTGCTTGCTCTGGGAAGCTTTGTTTCCTCCAGATAGCACTGGGGCTCCTGGGACTGAAAGCCGACTTCATCTAATGCACCAAGAATTTCCAAGGGGATTGAGACCCAGATGTGTCAGCCTAGGAGTGTTTTAACGAATCCAAGAGCCACTGCTGCTGCAGAGCCCTAGAGACCACAGTCAAGAACCTGACCATGTGGTTGCTTTTTCATAACTTCTACAACATATCCCCTGATTATTGGATTTCTTTCCCCCTGAGTCCTTGATGCCGCTTCATTTAGAGGAAAGCACACGGTTTTTCAGTCCACAGAAAACCTAACCCAGAGCGGCCCCAGTCTCTCAAGGCCCCCTTCTCAGTCACATTTTTGTAGTTTGTTCAGAATGGATTCCTGCTCAACCTGGAAGTACAGCCTTAATTAAATGCCTCTTAGGAGAGTTGGAATTTATTTCCACTTTGAAAAGCAAATCCTAGCAGGGTAGATTTTCATGAACCAATATAAAAGCTATTCCTTAGACTACATTTTCAAAAACCAGAGATGGGGCCAAAAGGTGAGGCTGTATCATGAGCCACTTGGGAACAGAGTGGGGCCATTCTGGGCCCTCTGGCTGTGGCTGCAGAGAAGGAGACGGCGAGACACAGGGTGCTCACCCTGTAGGGAGGCTGAGTTTTCTATTATGATTCCCGCCTCAGTCCAGCAAGCATCAAGTTTACTTGTCAAGTTTTCACCAGCCTACCACTGGTCTTTTGACAGCTCTTCCCCAGAGATGCTCAAGGAAGAACGAAGGCTTGAAAGTAGTGTTTTCATCAACTTGCCCCGTTCAGTTGTTAAGGTTTGCACACTCAAATGCCAGTGGGATCGGGGCATGTAACATAAATGCACAGGGCAGTGGGGAAGTTTCTGGGATCTCTGGATCGCCTCTTCCCCCACACCTTCGAAGTCCTGAGCTCAGGAACCCACTGCTTTTTGTTTTGTTTTGTTTTTTGCTTAAAGGTGATAAAGAAGAGAGGCACAGGGAAGAGAGAGAGAGGCACAGGGAAGAGAGAGAGAGGCACAGGGAAGAGAAATATGTTGGGAGAGATCCCCTTCTCTCTACCTTCATGAAGGGGAAATTTCTAGTTTACCTGTTGGGGTTTCCTATTCGGAAAGGTGTTCTATGTGGAGTGAGGAAGGTGGTGAAACCCCATGACTTGGGCCTCAAAGGTTGATTCTCACAGGACCTCCTGTGGAAGGGACCCCAGAGAAGCAGCAAATTCCATACATTGCCCCTGTCACCTTTCCCATCCTCGGAACGTCAAGGGAGCTGGTCCTTGGGAAGAGCTGCTATGCTGAGGGATGGGTTAAAGAGGGTGCCCTTCCAGCCACCCTAGATGAACTTGGGGAAGGGGCGGCAGGCTTCTGGGCCCGTTCCCCCAGCGTGCGTGTTCACCCGACCGCCCCTGACCACCCCTAACGGGTCGCTGGCCACCGGGCTGTTGTCCTCGGCGCTCGGGAGCTCCTGTGAGCAGGAGGCCGGGGCCGGGGTCATCCGGGCCCGGGGCTTCAGCACGTTCAGGGGGTCCCGCTCCGAGTCGTCCTCGGCGCTCCGGGTGTGCCGCCGTGGTCTGGGGGTGTTGAAGTGGATGAGGGGGATCTCGTTCCTCCGGGACAGGAACTGGGAGTAGGGGGGTGGGTTCATGCCTGGCAGGAAGGCCCTCTTCGCCCGGCCCAGACTGACCAGAAAGTGATGCTGAGGAGAGTGGTAGACGTCGTAGCCGTTCTCCAGCGTCCAGTGTCGGAACCTGCAGTTCTCCGGGTTGAAATAGTGCTGGAAGGGCAAGAGCGAGCCACGTGAAGGCTGGTCCACCACCCCCCCCCCCGGCTCCTCCTGGGACCACACGCTTGTGCCAGCCGGCCTGAAGTCCTGAACGGCTGAGGGTGTTGAGCCTTCACCCCTTTGTTCCCTGCTGGGGTCAAGTGGTTCTGATTAATGCTCAAGCCCTGACTATAGTTTCCCCCTTTCAGAGACTAGACTACTGGGGCCTGCGCTTACTGCCTGGAGGCCCGGGCTGGCCTGGCCTGTGGTTTTCCTGGAGTAGGCACCACCTCCTCCTTCCCGCCCTCTACCTTTTCCAAGTCTCTGCTGGCTGAAAATTGGCTTGGGTTTGTCTCCTTGCTGGAGAAAGGAGAGGGGATGGAGTTTGTAGGGTCAAACATGAATGAGGGCACTGAGGGGATTGGAGACATGAACTTTGCTGACAGATGAGCTGGGTTTGAATCCTCTACCACTAGTACTGGGTTTTACTGAGTGCTCCACAAAGGCCTTTGCATGTTATTTCTTTTTTTTTTTTTTTTTTTTTTTTTTTGAGACGGAGTCTCGCTGTGTCGCCCAGGCTGGAGTGCAGTGGCCGGATCTCGGCTCACTGCAAGCTCCGCCTCCCGGGTTTATGCCATTCTCCTGCCTCAGCCTCCCGAGTAGCTGGGACTACAGGCACCCGCCACCACGCCCGGCTAGTTTTTTTGTTTTTTTTTTTTTTTGTATTTTTAGTAGAGACGGGGTTTCACCATGTTAGCCAGGATGGTCTCGATCTCCTGACCTCGTGATCCACCCGCCTCGGCCTCCCAAAGTGCTGGGATTACAGGCTTGAGCCACCGCGCCGGGCCTGCATGTTATTTCTTTTAATCCTCAAACTCCACAAAGTAAGCAGTTTACAGACCAGGACTGTCTACGTGCCTAGATGGGTTCAAGAGATGTTTAGTTAGTTACCTATATTTCAACAGTTGTTCAACTGATTTTTTTTTTTTTTCCTACTCTAGCCAGACACTATTGTAGGGGCTGGGATGCAGCAGAAAGCAAAACAGAAAGTCTCTGTTCTTGTGGAGTTTCTCGTGGGCAAGAGGGGTGGTAAGAGAATCCTGAGATAAGCAGTCCTACTATTTGACTATCTCAAAATCCTTGAAAAGAGGCCAACAGCCTTTAGTTTGGGAAATCCTTTGCTTACCAATCCAAATAAATAACGATCACAATTGGGGCAGGGGTTATTAATTAAAAATCTTTAACTGGAGGGAGATTCACAGGTCACGTGGTCTATTCCACTTCACTTTTTCCAAGTGAAAATGCTGAAGTTTGGAGAAGTGAGGAGATTTACCTAAAGTCACAGCTAATCCCAGAACCAAGAAGACACCAATGGCTTTTCACCCTTTTCTAATGCACTTTACAACGTGAATTGACATGACTCGAGGACCTGCGACTACATACCAGGTCCTGTGCTAGATCCAAAAATGGGTTCCAGTGGGCAGTGCAGACTAGGGGCTGAGAGCCTGGGATCTGGAGCCAGACTGCCTAAGTTCAAACCCCAGCTATTAAACCTGAGCATTCAATACCTGGACCGCATGAAGCATCAGTGGAAACAGGTCACCAGGGTACACTGCATATGGAATTGTTAAGCTAGAAAAGTCTATGTCCTGTCAAAGAAATTAGGTTAATTGTTTGCGTATGGTGACCAACACAAAAAAGAAACTCACTGATCCAAAAATGTTGCCTCTGAAATCCATGCAGAGGTATCTTCTGCTCATCACACCTGTAATCACCACAAAGCCAGCATCCTCTGATCTGATCATCAGGGCACCTATGGAGAAAACCAGGCAGGGCAGACTCATTGAGCATCCAGTTCCCACCTTCAAGCACCTCCTGAAAACCCACCTTCATGAAACCTCCCTGGATTGATTTTTAAGGGTGATGATGACTTCCACACCCCTAAATTCAGCCTCATTTCTACATATTCAGCATTGCTTCTGACATTCTCTCTTGCCCCCAGCACGTATACAGTCATTCACCTCCTGCTTCATCTTGCTGCCTGTATGGGGCACTCTGAGCTCCTGGCATTCTTCTACCTGTGCTGAACACATATTTCTCTCTCTCTACCTATTTTCCCTTTTGCCTTACTAATGCCTTTGAATGTTTGTAGTGATAGTTACATTCTTCCATGCCTTCTATTTTGTGATTTTTAAATCTATGCTGAGATGTCTTTCAAGGATCCAGCTTGTCCACAGAGTCTGATTCTCCACCTGGATGTCTGTGTAATCATCTAATACTAATCAGTCAACACCCAGTATGTGTACAGAACGGTGTTAGAGTTGATCTCCCTCTTCCTTCTCTACTTATTGAAGTCACTCATTCTTCAAGACCAGGCTCAGGCATCACCATCTCTATGAAGCCTTTCCTCATCTTTCCATTCAAAATCAGTTGTTCTTTCTTCTCAGCTCCTCAGGACAATGCCTTCGCCTCTATTACAGCATGTATTCCATTTACCTTGCTTTAACTGAGTTTACCTATCTAGCGCCTTCGTTAGAGTGAGCTACTTAGGAGCAGAGGGTATAACTGTTTATGTTGAATCAATACCAGTGATGGATGGAATTTTCTTCTTGGGCTTTTCTTGGGTTGGTTGTCATTTTCTCACTTGGTGGTGACCCCTCCAGGTACAGTCCCTCATAGACTTTCAGTGTCCCCTCTCAAAAGCTAGTCTCTGACAAGAGTCTGAAACCCATTCACATGACCTACCTCTTAAGTAATTGATAACGGCTTTAAGTGTGCTTTCTGTTTTGTGGCAAAGGCACAATTAGACCATATACTAGTGTAACATGAGTGATAATTCAGCAAGACTTCTTCCCCAAATGTTGTTTAATTACCTGACATCTTCTGTTAAAAATCATTACTTTAGGTCTTTGGGGCCACTTCCGGTTGCCTATCACAGAAATTTCCAGCTGCATCTCATCTGACCTCACAGCCCCCAGGGAGGCAGCTAGACTCCCATGCAGGGATTCAAATTCCTTTTCTGCAACTGTAGCTTGGAGAGGTTGTGAACGCCCAATGTCTGTGCCTAGCAAGTGATGGAGCCTCCTGGGGTGATTGAAAGCCCAAAGCTCCTCTCCCATCCCATGCAGGCTCAATACAAGGACATTTGAGGAAAATAAGCAGCAATAATTCGATACTAGCTCAGCAGAAATCATGATAGGGGCTGAAATTGGAATGAAATGGAACAGAGGGAATGAGAGTGGAGACAAGCCCCAGAAAGGTGAGAAAGGAAGAGGGCCAAAGAGAGAAGTTAATTTGTTTGAAAGTTTGGCTGAGGAGAAACTTGAGGGAAGCTTCCAGAAGGTGGACTGGGGTATGACAGGCACAAAGGATGCTTAAATTCCTCCACAGTGGTGTCTGCCTATGTGTCTCAAATGTATGGCTAGTTTTGTGGTAAACCTTTGGAGAAACATAAGGAACGTGAAAGAAATGATTTTTGTTCTGGAGACTTTTCAGTCTAATTGGGAAAAAATTACATTTAGTAATGGTCTTTGAGTGGTTGCACTCTAAGCACTTTACATATTTTAAATTCTCAAAACAAATGTTATATTGTTAGTACTAATTATTATTATTAGTAGTAGTAGTAGTAGCAGCAATATCCTAATTAAGTGATAAGGAAACTAAGGCAGGAGTGAAACTCAGGTCTGAGACATCTTCCTACTACGCGGTAGCAAGCCTCCAGCAGAAATCACTAAGAGTCTGAGAAGACAACATCAAATGCTAAAATACATGCTGCAGGCAGTGAGGACAAGGAGTCATGGCACCGCTGAGGGCTCAGGGAAGAGGCACTGAGCCAGGCACCAAGAACCGGGGAACTTGGATTTTGGTCCCAACTGTGCCACTTGCTGACCTTGCAGTCTTGGGCAACTTATTGCTCTAGCCTCAGTTTCCTCAGCTGTGAAATAGAACAATAGCTGTCCTGCCTACTTCATAGGGTGATGGTCAAATGGGATAATGGTGGTAAAAGTGACTCGAAAGTGTCGCACAAACAGAGGACATCACGTGGCGTCTTCTGACCTGCTGTTTATGCCGGGCCCAGGCCTTGACAGGCGTGCTGGCCTGATGCTTGGGGTCAGTGTGGGCTGTGCATATGGCCCATGTGGTCCCGGTCTCCAGAGCCAGTCCCCCTAGAAAACCTCTGGCAGTGGCTGAGGAACTGGGAACAGCTGGTACAGAGGGACACAGACTCTTCCGTCAAACAGTGTGAGTCAATGTGAAAGTGTAGAAAACGTGAGAGTCACGGTTTCTTTCCTTTGCGCTTTCAAAAGGCATCTTTCCGCAGTCTGCACAGATTCACGGGAGAATTTTGCAGAAGGAAGGCACAAACCACTGACTGCCGGAGCCCCCCGCCCCGCCTGTTGGAGCTGAGCAGGCTGAATGGACTTTGCCTTCAATGACGGAGCTGTCTGCATGCGTGTGACCTTGGAGCTGTCTGCATGCGTGTGACCTTGGAGCTGTCTGCATGCGTGTGACCTTGGAGCTGTCTGCATGCGTGTGACCTTGGAGCTGTCTGCATGCGTGTGACCTTGGAAGAGCGTGGGATTTGGGGTCAAGATGTCCTCTAGGTCTTTTACTCCCTGTCTGACCTTCAGCCAGTGATTTAAGTTCTTTAACTCTCGTTTTTTCACATATAAAATGAGGATGGCAGAAACATTTACTTACCTCATTTGGTCCTCTTGAAGACATAATGAGATAATGTTTTATCTTTTAGAAAGTACTTCCTAAATGCTAGTAAGTTTTACTATTACCGCTTTGCCTCAACCTCTGCTTATACAAGTAGGAAATTATCTACTCCGTTCTACTCTTGTGGCCAGTAAGTGATAAATAAGATGATAGCAGTGAAGTGCTTTGAGCACCTCAAAATAAAAATGTATGAAGAAGGCTTGAGGAGCCCAACGGTAACTCAGCTTCAAGTAAAGAAAGCTCCTGTGGGGAAGATGGAGGAAGTGAAAATATCAGGATCTAGGATGTGATATTACCAGGGGCAATAAACATCTCTGTCTTGCTGGTTCCATATAATGAGGATAAAGGGGAGTCAGAGGATGGCCTTGTTCATGAAACAGGTGATAGGGACATCAGAGGGGTACCTGGCAGCAGCGCTTGTGAGTCCCAAGGGAGCTTGAAGAATCTGGTAGGCAGGAGATAATTTCATTTTGTCAAGTCCAATGACCCAAAGATGGGTCGTGCACTCAACTCTTAAGAATTTCTCACAGCAAAATAATAAGATGAACCAGAATTCACTAGAAATGGATAATTAGGAGTGGAAAAAATACCCCTCACATTTTAGGTTTCCGTCAGTGTAAAAACATTGCTTAACAGTCACTGATGAGGTCATTACAAATCCTTCACCAGACATTTAATTAGTTGTGATTCTTATCTACGTGCATTAATCTTTCCTCTTTCTTTTTACGTAACTTTTTTTTTTTTTTTTGAGACGGAGTCTCGCTCTGTCGCCCAGGCTGGAGCACAGTGGTGTGATCTCAGCTCACTGCAACCTCCGCCTCCTGGGTTCAAGCAATTCTCCTGCCTCAGCCTCCCAAGTAGCTGGGATTACAGGCGCGCACCACCACGCCCAGCTAATTTTTGTATTTTTAGTAGACACAGGGTTTCCCCATGTTGGCCAGGCTGGTCTTTAACCCCTGACTTCAAGTGATTCTCTTGCCTTGGCCTCCCAAGGTGCTGGGATTATACGCATGAGCCACCACACCTGGCCTCTTTTGGGTAACTTTTAATTGTATTGTGTAATTTTTTTCCTGCACTTTTTCCCCCCCATAATACACGTGACAACTGATTGAACAGTACAAAAAGTTATCTACATAGACTAGGAAAAGCAGATCTCTCTCCCACTCCCCTGACCCCAAGTTCCCCTCCCCATATTCGTGTTTAACTCTTTAAAGATGCAATGTTTAGCTAGTGCCTGTGTCTAAGAAAACAAAACCGTATTTCTGTTTTTAAAGATCTGAAGTCAGTTCCATTTGTTTTGCTGCCTCTCAATCCTTTTAATTCAGCTAGCACTCAGTGATCCCTTGGGGCCTGATACGAGGTGGGTTTTCAAGGAAAAGGTCTACAGTTCAGAATGCCAGCCCAGGAGGTCGACTCTTCACACTCACTCCCCACCGTAGCCAGCCTGTTCCGTTCTACCCTAATTCTTGTTCAGGAGGAAACGTCTTTAAGGAGTTCCTTTCAGCAATGGGATTCCAGGATTCGAGACAAGTTGTGTAAACATTCTCTAGTTGGATGCCGCCCTTTCCATCTAAGAGAATCAAAACAATTTACCATCATCTACTATTCTGCATTTTAAATCACATAGAGTCTTGAATTAGAGTAAGAGTGGCCGCTCCATGAGAGGCGCAAAGTCGCATTTCCTAAAGTCTGGTAGTGAGCTGGCTGACAAGGCAGGACGACAGACCACAAGGTCCTTGAGGGGTTGTGTCTTACTTTTCAGTCACAGAGCTTGATAGAATGCCAGGCACATTGTAGATCCTGTTAAATATCCATTGAATAAAATGAACAACACTTGGGGTTCATCAAGTATATCCAGATTTAATTGAAATTTTTGCCACGAGACTCACACTTGGTTTCCAAGATGTTGACTCCTGAGTCTTAGTATATCCTCTAGAGTTCTGGAACCTGTTTGGTATTTGGAGAGAACTTTTCTCTCTCCTTTTATCTCCTATCAATATGCATCTAGCACTTGAGGAGGTTTAAACTGTCAATTTCGCATGTCATATATCTTGCAACTTAATTTTGCATGTTATATATCTTGCAACCAGGTTTAAGGACCTTTGGTTCCTAGAAGAATAAATGCCTCACACACAGCAAGGTCACAGCAAAAATAATTAACTTATTACAACAATAAAAGGCAAATCATAATTCCTATGTTTTCTTTAGTTAGAGATTGTCTAACTAATTTTTCTTTCCCTTAATTTGAGCTATATTGGATCACTTTGCATTTTTATATATTCTTAGAGGTATTCACATGTTTTCTTAAAATAGAAGATCCAGTCTTTTTCAATATCCCTGCTCCCACCACATTACCCCTTATATAGGTGCGCACAAAGTGGCCCTCATTTGAATCATTGCTAATGGATTGATTATTGTGGATTGTGATCCAATTCTCCACAAACCTGATCTTTAAAAACATTCCAGTTGTCTCACATTGCCAATAAGTTTCTAACTAGCTTGACTTGCTACTGACTGGACACCTTTCAGTTCCACGGAGAAGAATCACCAATGCGTACTGGGTACCGGGGTACCTGAGTATCTGAAACAGCCTTTAAACCTGTTAAAGTTTAAAGGTTGGATGGATGGATGCATGGACAAATGAATGGGTGGATGGGTTGTATACTTGGCCATTCTCACCAAGACAACATTCCTGGACAGTCTGTGTTTAATACATTTTTCCAAGAATTTTTATAAGGCCAGAATTGGAAAGAGCCCCCAGATTTATCTATTACAATCTGGGTATGACCTGGGAATCTTCTTTCCAACCTGCCTAGTTAACCCAGCCTGAAGTCCAGGAGCTGAAACTTAGTGTCTGTTGATCTGCCTGGCTTCTTTTTCTCTTAGACTCCTTGCTTTTCTTTCAGTATATTTTCTGAATCTTTTGATGGGGCAAAGGGAATATGGCTCCTACTGTGGGAAGGGTTTTAGTTTAAACAAAAAGTATGCATGTTAGAAAAACCAGCAAATACTAATTAGGAGAGTGACAGAATCTTCCCCTAAGATTTAAATACACACACACACACACACACACACACAGACAATAAGTGGTTCCTGGGCAGAAAGCTTGGAGGGTTGGATTAGCCCTCCAGTCTAGTCCCCAACCTCCCCAAGCCCCCTGTAGATGGACAACAGGGGCGCACCCCTTCTTCCCAGCTTGAAGTCCTACTCACTGTAGATGGTCTGATGGGGTGCGCCATCCACGTGGCCATTCTTGTGGATCTGCAGGTGGTAGCTGTTCCTGGCTGTGGCTGTGTACAGGTGGATCAGGCCACCCCAGCTGGAGCCGAGCAATGGGGAGGCATTGGGATAGGCTCTGATGACGCTCATGCTGCAGACGCTGCACAAGGCACAGACCCAGAGCCTGAGGCGGGCCCCCAACATCACGCCCTGCTCTGAGTGGCTGGTGCTGAGATTGAAACCTGACACTCCTGTCGGGACTCTCCTGGCCCAGGCCTCACTGGCCTTTTCCTTCTCCCTTGCAAGTAGCTGGTGTGAGGATCCTAGACTGAATTCCCTCCTTTTTGCCATCAGACTTTTAAAGGGTAGCAGTGTGACATCAAACAGGAAAAACTCCGCTGTCCACATCCTCTGTGTTGTAATCAGCCCATTGAAAGAGAGTGCAGAGACCCCGGAGGCGCACGGAAGGCACGTCGGTTCCAGACACACACACCCCCCTCAATTTCAAGCCAACGCTCCAAAAAAATGAATGACGCGTGGGCAAAAGTTATCTGCCGCTCTGGGCTGTCTGTTGACCTGTCCCACGTCCATCAGGAAATGCGAAGGCAGCCAGCGGTTCCCAAAAAAAATCCAGCTTCAGTCAAGCAGTCAACCGACTCCCAGGCAATTAATCTCCCGTCGAGTTTACTTATTTTGGTTTTCTTTAAATTCCAATCAGCAAGTATGTATCCAGTGCTTAATCTATGAGCAGGATTCGGTGGCTAGCTTGTAGGATATAGAGATACATGACACCGTCAGGCAGATGGCATCCTCTGAGAACCCCCAATTCGTGAAAGATGGGAGCTGGGAGCAGGGGCACAAAAACCAAAGTTGCCATTTTGGGAAGATTTTGAAATGGAAGAAAAAGAAGCAAGGTCTTGAGCTCACTGAACATGCCAAGGTTCGATTTCTCAGCGTCCTTAGTTTGGACTTCGCTGAACATGCCAAGTTTCAATTTCTCAGTTTCCCTAGTTTGGACTATCGAGGACAACTAAATGAATAGTCTCTCCAGGAGTAAGGAGACCCGTTCAGAGACCTCATGGGGATTGGAAAGGCTGCTGGCTGAGCACCGGGAATCCGAGCCTCAGGACAGGGTGTCCCCACATTTAGTGTCTGTACATGAGTGCTCAGCTTGGTGCTGGATGCCTGCCTGCAGATGCTGTTCACAGTGCGCCCTCTGGGAAGCTACACCTCATGTTGGGGGGAATAGTCCTGGCACGCACAGTCTAAAGGGGAGCAAGCTACTGCAACATACACCCGAAAAAATACCCAAGGAGATTGCTCCTCTTCCAATTTCCCATGTACTGAGTACATGCCATGTACAGGCATCAAGCTAGACATCACGTACAAGTTGATATAGGAGACAGCAAGATGTGATTCCTATCTCGAGGAGCTCAAATCTAATGCAGGAGGCAGATAAAAATAAGTAACCGTAATACAAAATGAGTGCAAGCATACAGGTATAGACAGAAAGAAATGGCATCTGTTACCCTACATTTGTGCAGTTTTTTTTTATAGTTTACAAAGCATTTTCACATCTATTAGCTCATTTGAACCTCACTGCCACTCTGTGAGAGGGGCACACCATGCATTATCAAGATTTTAATACTTTACATGAAGAAATGGAGATCTCAGTTTTTCCATGTCAAAGGCACAAAGCAAATAAATGGTAGAGCCAGGACAGGATTTTCTCCTTCCCCAGGCTGCTTCTCCAACGAATCACAGCAACAACTAACACTCATGGAGAGCTTACTGTTCCACTTACTGCTCTAAGCACTTTACTTGTGGTCACCCATTTCATCCTCAGAATAACTCTTTGAGGAGATGCTCTTATTTTCTTTATATAGATCAGGAAACCGATGCACACGGTTTAAGTAACTTGCCTAGAGATAGAAAGGTAACATGTGGAAGAGGTTGGATTTGAATCCAGGTCTGGACCCAAGACCTCTTAAGCAGTTTTCAAGATGTCCAAACCCACACAACATGCTAGAGCTAAAGCCATGAGAGCCAGGAGCTTGGTAAGAAAGTGCAGGTGGCAAAGCAGTCCTCTGTCATTCACTAGAAACCCAGGCTTTTACCCAGGATGAATCTCTAGGTCACATGGTGCTTGTCTCCCCAGGGTTGAATGGAGGAAGTATGACATGACATGTTTATATGTAAAACAGTCTTCTTTGCTAATGGCCACAGAATGGATTATAAATATCCTGCCACGTCTTAGCTAATTGAAGAAATAGCTAGCTTTCTTTGAGAATTGAGATGCAAATCGCTTAGGAACATTTGCCCTGCATTTCTTCTTCTGGCTGTGAAAGGTAAAGCGATAGGAAGTAACTCTAAAGCAATCAGCAGCAATTGAGAACCTTCTCCGTGTACGAGATGAAAGGGAGGGCGAAGGTCTACAAAGCAGGACTAACTTCTCCAGGGGCTTGCAGTGTAACCAAGCGGGGAACATCTTTGTTCAATACAAGGCACTGTGTGGGAGGAGCTTCATTACTAGGACCAAATTAGTGAAGATGTGGTACTATATTTATAAACCATTCTGTGGCCATTACTAAAGAAGCCTACTTTATACATACACATTTAATGTCATTCATCTTCTAAACAACCCTGGGGAGACAAGCACTATGTACCCTAGAGATTCACCCCGGGTAAAGGCCTGGGTTTACGAGAGAGTAACAGAGGAGTGCTTTGCTGCCTGCACTTTCTTACCAAGCTCCTTCACAAAGAAAGAAAGGTTGACCAGGCGTGGTGGCTCACGCCTGTAATCCCAGCACTTTGGGAGGCCGAGGTGGGCAGATCGCTTGAGGTCAGGAGTTCGAGACCAGCCTGGCCAACGTGGTGAAGCCCTGTCTAAAACCTGTTTAGTAGAAACCCTGTCTCTACTAAAAATACAAAAAATTAGCTGGGTGTATTGGTGCACGCCTGTAATCTCAGCTACCTGGGAGGCTGAGGCAGGAGAATCACTTGAACTGGGAGGTGAAGATTGCAGTGAGTAGAGATTGCACCACTGCACTCCAGCCTGGATGACAGGGCGAGGCTGTGTCACACACACACACACACACACACACACACACACACACACACACACGTCATGGTGGGTGGACGCTGTGGTCAAGGAGGGCTTTGAGGGAATGAGAGAACTGAGGGAGTTTTGTAGGATACACAGGGAAAGGATTTCCCCAGTACCTGCCAAGCATGATGGAGAGGGAGCGCAGGTGTCTTGGGGTAAGTCCACAGCCGTTGGGTCATTCCCTTAGATCCTGGAGGGACTGAGGAAGGGGCTCCTCCGTGGCCACTTCGGCTTGTCTTATGAGGAAAGAGAGCCATGTGCCAGCTTTACCCACATCCAAAGGCTGTCTTCCAAGAAGAAGCCCTGTGTGCTTAGCATGTGGCTCTAATGGCAGAGTCCAGTCCGGAGGAGTAGATTTATTTTTAAAGAGGATGGGAGGAGACGCAGCATTTCCCACTTGGAGAGAGTAAAGGAAGGCACAAGAATCTCAGACTAACTCTGCCCATTTGAGATGGGGAAACATTGAGAGTGGAATTGAGGATTTGCTCATTGGAACACGGAGACGGCAGAACGTCCAGCTCCTGGCTGAACTCCCTACCAGTGGCTTCCAAATCTGGTTGCTCACTGGAATTACCTGTGGAGCTTTAAAGCCATAATTGCCCCAGGACTAATCTTAGACCTACTGAATCTGCAGGAGCAAAAGCCAGTTATCTGTACTTTATTCAAAGCCACCAGGGAGATTCTTATTCTCCACACCAGACGGGGCTGATACTAAAGTACTTACCAATAAACAGGCTTTGAGCGCCAACCACACATCAAGCACTGGAAACAGGACACAGAGACCAAGGCCCTCTTCAGGGGCTGGCTCAACTTCCCATTCCCTTCTAGGATGTCCAGCCTAACTGCAGGTCAAGATGTCAATGAGCCTTTCTAGGGAATTTAGTACTGAACGCTAAATCACTACCCTGTGCTGACAAGTATCCTGTCCTTGAGCCCAGTGCATGGTCTCCTCTGAAGCTCTAGTGGGTAAGAGAAGGGAGAGGCCAGGAGATGTCGGTTCCTGTCCATTGCACCTAGAGGGCACTCCTCCGTCACAGTTCAGGTCCAAGGGTCTGGGAACCAGTGTGACCTTAGGAGCCCAAAGAGAAACACAGATACCAGCTGTGAGCAGGAAGCCCGGGGAGGAGGCCCTGGGTTTGTACTGCTTGGATGTCACTGTCCTTGGTTCCCAGGTAGCTACCTGAACGCAGCAGATAGGCTGGTCCCATGGTAGGCAGAGGAACCTGTTGTCTCCAGCCTGGCCTGGAAGCCCTTCTCTAGCATCAAGAGGATTTGCCCCGGGAGCTGTGTGGAAGCATCAAGTCTAGTCCCTGCATTTACACTCATAGAATCAAGGCTCTTAGTGTAGATAAGGGCCTGTAAGAATCTGTAAGAATCTGTATTCCGGCCGGGCGCAGTGGCTCACGCCTGTAATCCCAGCACTTTGGGAGGCCGAGGCGGGCGGATCACCTGAGGTCAGGAGTTTGAGATCAGCCTGACCAACATGGTGAAACCCTGTCTCTACTAAAAATACAAAATTAGCTGGGCGTGGTGGCACATGCCTGTAATCCCAGCTACTGAGGAGGCTGAGGCAGGAGAATCGCTTGAACGTGGGAGGCGGAGGTTGCGGTGAGCCCAGATTGCACCATTGCACTCCAGCCTGGGGCAACAAGAATAAATCTCTGCCTCACCAAAAAAAAAGAATCTGTATTCCGGCCGGGAATGGTGGTTCACGCCTGTAATCCCAACACTTTGAGACACTGAGGCGGGTGGATTGCTCGAGCCCAGGAGTTTGAGACCAGCCTGGGCAACATGATGAAACCCTGTCTCTGCAAAAATTAGCGAGCATGGGTGCATGCCTGTAGTCCAAGCTGCTCGGGAGGCTGAGGCAGGAGAATGACTTGAACCTGGGAGGCAGAGGTTGCAGTAAGCTGAGATTGCACCACTGCACTCCATCCTGGGTGACAGAATAAGACCCTGTCAAAAAAAAAAAAAAAGGAAAAGAAAAGAAAAGAAAAAATCTGTATTCCTGCAAGTTCATTACTTTCCTTCATCTCCTGACTTCTTTTTATCAGCATCTGCGCTGAGAAGGTCCTGAAGAAGATTATCTCACCCAGATCATATTCACTCAATGTAAAGACTTGGCAATAATTTTCAAACAATAACATCAACTTCATTGTCCTTATC